AAAATCCGCCTCAAAAACAGCTGGCTGGCTAGTAACTATTTTTCGCGGATTATATTGCTTTAACACGCAAAATTGTCAATTTCGGTCTTTGTGAGTAGGCTATACTCTAAATATAGTCGGTTTTGTCTTCAATAAGCATAAAACGCATGCCAGTATAATGAACACAGGATCCGTGCACTAGCTCTTAAAGTGACGGCAGTCATATGTGTCTGTCATTAATTTTGTTGTCAAAACAACAAAAGATAGCTTTAAGTTAAAGGAATCAGGATTAATAGCCTATGTATTTAATTTATTCAGGACTAAAATACTACCCAGTGTTATTTTCCATTTTATTACTTTATTCAGTGTCTGTATATGAATAACGTTACTATTAGACCTATTCAAAAACTTTTCTCTTTAATTGTCTTTATTTGTATCTTTATTCTATTGTATTTATTTGTGCTACTTTTTTCAATTTAATTAAACAATTTAAATCAAGCTTCCTTGTGATGTGTAAATTCTTAACAACAATAGGCTATTACCCCATTGTAAAAATGCAATGAGCGCAAACATTTAGGCAAGATAAATGTAATAATTTTGTTTGGAAAATCTAAGGGTGGATCCCACCCCCCCCCCCCCCCCCCCCCAATTTTCCAAAACGAAATTCAGGCCCATGAGAACTACCACATCTTTAAATTACTATTAGTATTATTTGAAGTTAACATTATAAAATACGTAGACCTACACCACAAAACTAGTTGAGGATAAATGATTTAAAATTTGGCAATTTCAGCATTATGGACGTGAAATTTGCAGCCAAAACTTGAAATATAAATTCTCAGAAAGTGCATTAAATTAATCCTCAATTGACCGGCAACACGTCCAACATGCAGATGCATATCCTACGGCACCATCCCGAAATCAATTTAGTTGGAGTACAGAACATAGCCCAAAAGCAGCAGCCTACACTGCCTAGTATAGTATATTAATTTGCGTAGTTATTATTGTTCTTTGGTGTTTAGATTATACAGGTTTTTCCTAATGTTATTTAATAAAAATACCAGTATTTTTTTTCTTCTCTCAAAATCTCTTTTTTTCACCACAAGCCCCGCCCCATCAAGCCCCGCCCCCGTGATAGAATCGCGATACGAATCGAATCGTGGGTCAAAAATCGTGATACGAATCGAATCGTGGGTTTGGTGTATCGTTACAGCCCTAGTTTTCACAGGTAAATCCAATCTATAATCTGTCAAAATGACGGAAATCACTTTGATGTAGCGTCACGTAATGCTGAAGTTAATGCACATTTTTGATTATGGCTTGTTATACAATACAGATATATATTTGCCTACTATAGTGATATTTAACCAAAGACTCGCGCTTTTGGGGCTATTTTTGGTCTGTTGATTCTTTTAAACTTTTAAATTTCATTTTAATGCTCGATGATTGAAGGGTGAGTCGATTAATGTCATCTCATTGTGACATTTTTCTCATCGTATTGCGATCATAGAGCGAGCCTTTCACTGATTGTTTACACCCAAACGGAAGTTACACCCATAATTCGCGCAAAGCGTCATGGGGTGCAGGAATAAGGTGGATAGCATGTTAAAATTGTCAGTTTTTGAGGGTGAGCAAAAATGCACCGTTTTTGTGTCTGTCCCTTTAAATGCAAATGAGCTGCTGCTCTCGGCGCAGGGGGCGGAGCTTCAAAAGCTCGTGTCCTTTTAACACACACACACACACACTGAACATTTCAAAAACTTTTAGTGATTTATGTTCAAACCGGAGTCAGACAATGATGGAGAGACTCGAGAAGAAGGGACATGTCGAAGCAACAGGACGTTTCTGAATGCTTATAGTTGATGAGTTTATGGATGTGGAGTTAAAGATCTTCAAGTCTTTGATTAGCATATTCTGTCATGATCATCTATAAATCGTGTACTGGGGGCGGGGTTATGTAAATTCTAGGGCTTGTGATGTCACTAACCCGGGAGGAAGCTCGTGTGTTGTAGTGCTTAAACAGTGATTTCTGTAAAAGCAAGCACTGTGAGCGGCGTAACTTTGCAGATGTTGTTTATGCTCAAACAGCAACATTACACACACTAACTAAAAGTGAAATCATAATCAACCACCCTTTAATCCAGGAGTGTTAAAGCCCTAATCGCGTCCGGTTCTCTGTGTGCAGCACAACGATGTGAAGGACGGGATGGACATCAACGTGACGGGCGTCTGGGAGCGCAACATCACCGGCGCCGGGGTCACGGTGGTCGTGGTGGACGACGGGGTCCAGCACACCCTGGAGGATATTCAGCCCAATTATGTAAGTCAATCGCCACCCATTTCTTTTCTCGTGAGTGTTTTCTGTATTCAGGGCTTGACATTCCCTTTTTTGCGCACCAGTCACTGTGGTTTTCAAAAGTTACGAGCCACTCAGCATTTTCACTGGCCACCATTTTGACATCGATACCATGGTGAAAAACTGGCATGTAGAAATGTGTAACATTATCTCATAATTTGGCACTGTTTTAGCCAATATGCTTGTCCTTATGTGCACACACTTTGGGTTTGAGCACAGAATCTGCAGGAATGAGTGAGATTATGCACAATCCCTCGCGAATCTCAAGCCCTGTACAGCAACAGCAATCATCCGGAGCAAATGAAGCGAGTGATTGAAGACATTGGGGGGCGGTAACCTTCGTTAAACTCCACAATAATAATTGGGAATGTGCTAATTAGACTGGAGTGAGAGCATAGACGGCTTTCGAGCTGTTGTGATCTTTTTTGGCTCTCTGATGATGCGTGACAGTCACTCAAATGTGAACGGCATTAACGCTTGTCCGGGACAAGTGGACTTTTTGAAGGGGCAAGAGAAAGATAATTTTGCTTGCCCGACCGGACAAGTAGCTTAATTTTAGTGACAGAACATGACCAGAGAACATGACCAGAGAACATGACCAGAGAACATGACCAGAGAAGCATCGAAACGCAAGAATGATTGTGATTGTATCACATTCAATGTAAACAGTGGCTGATAATGGGTAGAGTATTTCAGCTGACAGCGTCGCCTTGAGGATCTTTGTTATGGTGCGTTCACACCGGAGGCGAATAGCGCGTCAGGCGCGAGTGATTTCAATGTTAAGTCAATGCAAAGACGCGTTACGAGCGTAAAAAATTCCTGTGGCGCGAATTGAGCGTCTGGCGCGTTACGCGCGAATGTTTTATGTAGTGCTTTTTGTGCATTCTCGCGTTTGACGCGAATTCGCGTCTGCCGCCCGAGTTGAAAAATCTGAACTTCTGCGTCAATTCGCGCCGCGTTAACCAATCAGGAGCCTGCTTGCTGCTGTCATGTGGTGAAGTGACTAGTGTTGTCAAAAAACTCGGTACTTCGGTACCAAGTCGGTACTAAAAAAAATGAACGGTTACGGTACCAGCTTTTCTAGGTACCGAGTACCGGGTTAATCCGGTTCTTGATGCGCTGTCCGAAAGGTGCAGAGTTGCGTCCTCTTCATAAAAACACTGAGACATGGCGACCGGCGGCGCTGCTAATGCGTTGGCTCTGAATCCACTTGTTGACAAGAAAGGAGGAAAGAGCCACAAATGGAAATATGTTGAATTAGGCTAATGTCACGTTGCCATAAAGGGCCGTTCACACGTTCACACAGCACGTTTTTTGCGCGTGCAGATTTCAAATGTAGGCGCGCGGGAAGCGCGCTCATAATAGAAGCGACGTGCGAGCTTGTTTTTCCAGCCGCGTCACTGTTTATGGTTGCGTAGCGGAGACACGCGAGAGCGAGCGCTTGTGGAGAGAAGGAGAAAGCGGTGCAAACTGCGCTCTCCGTGATGACGAGGAAGTATCAGCAAAGAATTAATTGATTTCTAGCCCTTGCATTGGAAATCAGCTACAGGGTTATCAAGTTTTGAAGACAGGCAAGAGTGACATTTTTGGCAGTTTTGGATTAAATAAAAGTAGGCTACAGTTAAGTCAAATAAAACATGTTTTATCTCCTGTATAGTTTTGTAACACCACAATAAGATACCATTCATTAACATTACTTGATGTGTTAACATCAACACATTGAGAGAACAATATATTTTTACAACATTAATTTATGTTTGTGAATGTTATTTAATACAAACTCTTGATTGTTCATGTTTGTTCACTTCATTCATTGTGCATTAAATAATGTTAACAGATAAATCTTTTGATTTTAAAAATGTATTAGTATATTTTTAAATGAACCCCAAGGAGAATAATTGCTATGTATATAACTGGTTTATTGTTAGGTCATTTTATCTAATGTTATCTAACAAATAGAATCTTATTGTAAAGTGTTTTTAATACTACAGTTTCCATCTTTGTAACTGTGATATACACTTTAATATATGTAAATTTTATCTAAATTAAGCTTTGGTACCGAGAACCGTGGATTTTCACTGGTATTGGTACCAAATACTGAAATTTTGGTACCGTGACAACACTAGAAGTGACAGTTTATAATGTTATTTTATGTTTGGCCTCAATAAATTATTTTGTAATATGACAAAAATGCTTGGTGTGCAAAGCAAGTCTTTCACATAAAAACTCAATTTCAATATATGAGAGATACTCATTTTGTATTGAATGCTATTTATTCCATATCTATTCTAGATTATATGAAACATTATTATTCTAATGTAAAGACAACAAACACAATTTAGTGTATACAAACTTTTTAAAAAATCACAGGACAGGTTTCACTTTTGGAGGCTCCATTTATTATCAAAACAAAAATAAATGACAGATTAGGTGGATGCGGGCGAGGGTGAACCTCGCGCCGGGCTGTAGAGCGCGGGCTCGACAGGCATAGCTAGACCACTCGAGGCCGAGGGCTTATACGGCCTACGCTGTCCTCGTCAGCGTCCTCACCGTTAGGTCCACCAAACCTAGCTCCTGGCAAATTGTGAAACTCCTGAAACCCTCCGGAGGGTCTGGTGGACCCGAGTACAGCGACGATGTCCCCTACGCAGCTGTTTCTGCTCTCCAGAGCATATACGAGCGGTGACTCTCTCGAATAATGCTAATGCTAATGCTCGATAAACATCTAAAAAGATGGCCGCCAAAGGGTTTCGAAACTTTCGCCTCCGGATTTCGCCTCTGACGCGCGTAAATTTCGCTTCAAACTTTTGTTTTTACGCGCGTCAATTTCGACATTGACACGCGAATTAACACAAAGTGGTCAAGCGTATAACTAGACGCGTCAGGCGCGAATTTGATGCGCTATTCACGTCCGGTGTGAACGCACAGAGAGACATTCATGGAGAAATCAAAACTAATGAGTGAAACAGTACATTTCTTCTGTGAGTTTTCTGTGTGCTGAGGTAAACATTCAAATTGTTTTTTTTTTATTTATAGCAGATTTAGTTTAACATAACACAACTAAGGAAGCTGTTTTGCTGAATATTATCACGATTGAAAATGTTACATTGAATTTATAGTTCAATAAACAAGTAGCGTAGTTAATATTTATTAAGTGATTTACATTTTAGACACAAACAATATTAACTGTTTTTGTTGTATTTCAGCGGCGATAGTTCAAGGGAAGCAACAGCAGCGCGGTGTGTTACTGATGAATCAACGCTTAGAACGATTCTTTTGTGTGAATGACTCAATGACTCGCTCATTAACCTATTGGCGGTTTAGTTTCATGTTTAAGTGTTGCATTTTTTTATTTGTATATTCAAACATTTATTTAAAACATCAATCTCATAACATTATTTATTGCAGTTGTAATTTTGCAGTGCAAATTATTTACTTTGATGGATAACAGCCCAGTCTTATTATTATAAGTGAACTTATTGATCAAATGTAAGAATTTGACATGAAAGATGATGCAAACATTTAATAAGGTAATAAAAAATCTCTTTATAAAAATTAAAAACATCCATCCATCCATCCATCCATCTTCTTCCGCTTATCCGGGGCCGGGTCGCGGGGGCAGCAGTCTAAGCAGAGATGCCCAGACTTCCCTCTCCCTAGACACTTCCTCCAGCTCTTCCGGGGGGACACCGAGGCGTTCCCAGGCCAGCCGGGAGACATAGTCTCTCCAGAGTGTCCTAGGTCTTCCCCGGGGTCTCCTCCCAGTGGGACGCGCCCGGATCACCTCCCCGGGAAGGCGTCCAGGAGGCGTCCGGAACAGATGCCCGAGCCACCTCAGCTGACCCCTCTCGAGGTGGAGGAGCAGCGGCTCTACACTGAGCTCCTCCCGAGTGACCGAGCTTCTCACCCTATCTCTAAGGGATCGCCCAGCCACCCTGCGGAGAAAGCTCATTTCGGCCGCCTGTATCCGGGATCTTGTCCTCTCGGTCATGACCCAAAACTCATGAACATAGGTGAGAGTAGGAACGTAGATTGACTGGTAAATTGAGAGCTTCGCCTTACGGCTCAGCTCCTTCTTCACCACGACAGACCGGTACATCGACCGCATTACTGCAGAAGCTGCACCGATCCGTCTGTCAATCTCCCGTTCCATCCTTCCCTCACTTGTGAACAAAACCCCAAGATACTTAAACTCCTCCACTTGAGGCAGGAACTCTCCACCAACCTGAAGTGGGCAAGCCACCCTTTTATGACTGAGGACCATGGCCTCGGATTTGCCCACCTCCACTGTAAACAGCGTTGGTAGGGCACTGCTTCCCTCTCCTGAGGCGCCGGACAGTTTGCCAGAATCTCTTCGAGGCCAGCCGATAGTCCTTCTCCATGGCCTCACCGAACTCATCACAGGCCCTAGTTTTTGCCGCCACAACCACCCGGGCTGCAGTCCACTTGGCCTGCCGGTACCCGTCAGCTGCCTCAGGAGTCCCACAAGCCAACCAGGCCCGATAGGACTCCTTCAGCTTGACGGCATCCTTTACTTCCGGTGTCCACCACCGGGTTCGAGGATTGCCGCCTCGACAGGCACCTGAGACCTTACGGCCACAGCTCCGAGCGGCCGCTTCGACAATAGAGGTGGAGAACATGGTCCACTCAGACTCAATATCTCCAGCCTCCCTCGGGATCCGGTCGAGGCTCCGCCGGAGGTGTGAGTTGAAGATCTCACTGACAGGAGACTTGGCCAAACGTTCCCAGCAAACCCTTACAGTACGCTTGGGTCTGCCGAGTCAGTCCAGCTTCCTCCCCCGCCATCGGATCCAACTCACCACCAGGTGGTGATCAGTTGAAAGCTCCGCCGCTCTCTTCACCCGAGTGTCCAAGACATACGGCCGTAGGTCAGATGAAACGACCACAAAGTCGATCATCGACCTACGGCCTAGGGTGTCCTGGTGCCACGTGCACTGATGGACACCCTTATGCTTGAATATGGTGTTTGTTATGGACAAACTGTAACTAGCACAGAAGTCCAATAACTGAACACCGCTCGGGGTCAGGTCAGGGGACCGTTCCTCCCAATCACGCCCCTCCAGGTGTCACTGTCGTTGCCCACGTTTGCGTTGAAGTCCCCCAGTAGAATGATGTAGGCACACACGACAGTGAGAGACCTATCCCCGACCCGTAGGCGCAGGGACACTCAGCCACACCAGCCCGTCGCCTCTCACCATGGGCAACTCCACAGTGCCGAAGAATCCATCCTCTCTCAAGGAGTGTGGTTCCAGAGCCCAAGCCGTGCGTAGAGGTGATCCCGACTGTCTCTAGTCGGAACCTCTCAGCCTCACGCACAATCTCAGGCTCCTTCCCCGCCAGCGAGGTGATGTTCCACGTCCAGTGTCCAGGGATTGGGTTGTCGAGGCCCCCGCCTTCGACTGCCGCCCGATCCTCAGCACCGTCCCCTTACGGTTCCTCCTGTAGGTGGTGAGCCCACGGGAAGGCGGCCCCACGTCGCTCCTTCGGGCTGAGCCCGGCTGGACCCCGTGGGGGTAGGCCCGGCCACCAGGCGCTCGCATACGAGCCCCAACCCTGTGCCTGGCTCCAGGGTGGGGCCCCGGCTGCGCCATACCGGGCGACGTCTCGGTCCTCGATTTAATTGTACTCATAAGGGTTTTTGAACCTCTCTTAGTCTGTTTGCCTTGGGAGACCCTACCAGGGGCATATAGCCCCGGACAACATAGCTCCTTGGGTCGTTCGGGTACTCAAACCCCTCCACCACGTTAAGGTGGCAGTTCAAGGAGAGGAGGTGGCAGTTCAAGGAGAGGTTAATAAATATTTAGGTTAATACCTATTAATAAATAACACTCTGGGGTAAATATCACAAATGTGAAGATTTAAGTATGTAAAATCTGAAAATATTGCTTCATAATAAATATATTTACACCACCAAACGCCCCAGCCCCCCCCTCCCGTACATGGTACAGTACAGACAATTTGCTATGCACTGTCTGTGATAGGACCCAAGGTTGTGTCTCATCGGCTTCTAGCTCGTGAAGCAGTTCATGAAGGGTTTACAAGGCCCAGAACTAAAGCCCCAGATCACTAGTAAAGACATCATTAAAGTAATCGTGTGTCACACAATGAATCACAGTTCTCCGCTTGCTTGTTAAAATGAAGCCGTTTCTATCTGAGAAGTCTCTGGAAGCTGCAACCCATGCTTTTATTACGACTAGGCTGGATGATAATGTCACTCCCCTTCTGAAAGATCTACACCGGTTGCCAGTTAAACATAGAATTGAGTTTACAATCCTATTACTTGTCTAAAAACCTCTACATAATCAAATGCTGAGCTTGACAGAACTTGAGATGTATTGACCCTGAATATGAGAATTGTTTCGTGTGTTTTAGAGTCCCGAGGGAAGTTACGACCTGAACTCGGACGACCCCGACCCCATGCCTCATCCCGACGGACACAGTGACAACCATCACGGCACGCGCTGTGCCGGAGAGATCGCCGCCGTGTCCAACAATAGCTACTGCGCTGTGGGAGTGGCGTACGGGGGACGAGTGGCAGGTGTGGAGAGAGATCGCTTTATTCCTCATTACACAGAGTTACAGAGATCGCTTTATTCCTCATTACACTGAGTTACAGGTGTGTGTGTGTGTGTGTGTGTGTGTGTGTTTCTCAGGCATCCGGGTTCTGGACGGACCCCTCACTGACAGCATGGAGGCGGTGGCGTTTAACAAGCACTACCAGGTCAATCACATCTACAGCTGCAGGTGTGTGTGTGTGTGTGTGTGTGTGTGCCAGATCAGTCCACCATGACTCGCTGTTAAACACTGTTACGCTACTCTTGCTTCAGTTGAGAGCTCTTCATGGTCAATACTGTCAGTCCTACACTGGCTTTTATGATGTTAATTTTAGTAGATAGCAGATAAACAATAAAAAAGATAAAGCTTTAAAACAAGCTTCCATTTGTTAGTGAAGTACATTAGTTAACATTAACTAACAGTGAGCAATATTTGTACATGATTTATTCATCTTAATGTCAATTTCAACACTTGCAATGTCATGTCATCATTAATGAACGTGTCTTGAGATCTTGTCCTCCCAGTTTGCCTGTTATGCCTGAAACTCGAGTGACATCAGCTCTTCAGCAAACTAATGTTGTAACTATGTGTCATAACATACGTAAAATAAGTCTTCTGTTCCCTTTCGAATGGGATCTCGCACTGCGTCGATGCCGCTTTTGGGGAACTCCTCCGCATGAACCGCTTATCCAATCGTGGCAATCGTTATTGGCCGGCGACAGCCTATGACCTCACTACTAATGTGATCCAGAAGTGTATATGGGGAGCCTGGAGAACATGTCCTCCACTTTTTCAACTTCAGGGACTGTTTTGTTTTGAACGCTCCTGAAACTTCAAACAGGTAATGCTGTCTGAAGCCATCATCTGGCGTGCACTTCCCTCAGCAGGGGGCGCTGGTATATCATTCCCCGAAGCGCCATCGATGCTGTGCGGCACTTTCCAAAGGGACCGTCTCCAGTTACGACTGTAACGTCGTCTCCCTGAGGTCCGGGAACGAGTTCCTGCGTCTGTCGCCTCGGGATGCCTGCTGAACAGACGATACGTGGATGACGGTTCTCAGGGCGCCGCTCATGTACTGCCGAGTCGCACTAGTAGTGATGTCATAGGCTGTTGCCGGCCAATACGATTGCCGTGATTGGATAAGCGCTTCAGACACCGGTTCACGCGGAGGAGTTCCCTGAAAGCGTTAATGACAGAATCATTGTGTGGTTGTTGGTCCAATGTGGTTATATTTTCCCTGTAAACAGCATTTTTCAATCACACATATCAACAAATATTCATAATGTTTCTGTTGTGAATTATTTGGTGAATTAATTGTGTCTTTAAAAAAATCAACTTGTGCATTTTTATCTAAAGTGAACAATGAAGTGTGATAAAAAATATATATATATATCAGTGTTAATTTCGTTGAAGAAAATAACGACGAAAATTATTCGTCAACGACATTTTTTCACAGACGAAAACGAGACGATAACTAAATAAAACCTAGTTTTGAATGACAAAGACTATGACGAAAATCTATTGACATTTTCGTCAACGAATAAAAACTAGACGAAAATGTTAGATAGTGACGATTTGGGAAGCGATCCGTCAGAACTGATGTCCTGCGTGTGTGGTAGATGCGCACATTTGTAGGCTACTGTAACGTGATCTACCCCGCGGTCATAAAACGTTAAAAAATGTGAACGTCTGGGAGAATGAGTAGAGCAGACATATAGATCTGAATAAGAGTGACGATGCAAAAAAGAGCTCTATTCGGTGCGGTTTTCTGTGCGCACACACCTAACCCGAAGCGTGCAGTCATGCACAATACACCTACAGCGCGCGAGTAGGCTACTGAATTGAGCTCGCTTTCGTGTCTGAATGGAGAAATACACAACAGTATGTCTAAATGTCCTTTTTGGAGAGTATTCATGTAAACTATGCTGGTTATGTCTTAAACTGTGAGTGTGTCGGATGTGCATCAGTGCAATTGTATCCGCATGTCATTGGACATGATCCGACGTCTTAAAGTGACAGTGGCAATAAACCTAATGCGGTCCGTGTCCTTAATTTTGATCAAGCAACAAAAGAAAAAGAGAAAAGCATTCACTGTTTGTTAATAGCTTTAATAAGGATTAATTATATTTAATTCATACAAATAAATATGTCTGCTTGAAAGAATAAAGAATGATGTGTAAGTAGTTATAAGGAATGAATATATCATTCATTGTAAAGAAGACTGTGTTGTACTTAAGGAAAAGTGGTTTTATTTCATTTTAAGATATTTTTTAAGTAACAGCAGTTAAATCTGTATCTGTATTGCATGTTCAAACTTAAAAATCATTCATATTAATAGGTTAATAGATGTTTTCTCCGGGAGTATATGGGTTTGGAAATTTTAGAGAAATTCTAAATTAACGCATTACAATTGAACTAAACCCATTATATTTTAGTCGACTAAATCTACTGTAGATTTAGTCGACTAAAATGTTATTGTATTTCGTCGACTAAAACTAGACTAAAACTAAAACAATTCAGATGACTAAAATATGACTAAAACTAAATGGCATTTTAGTCAAAAGACTAAGACTAAAACTAAATCAAAATTTGCTGACAAAATTAACACTGATATATATATATATATATTTTTTATTATTATAATTGTGTGTACACAACTTTTCTCAAGTTTTTTTATTTTTTTCCTGTGACAAAAGATTAGGCACTTATGAATGTGTTCATAATTGGGAGAACAATTTCTTTTTTTTTCTTTATTTACATATTTTTCTAAATGACAGCTTATATGATAAATAATATATAATGATATATCATTTTTATAGTATGTTTCACTTTTATTTCCATGATGCAAACATTAACATTAGTTAATGCATATCAAGTAATAATAAACTGTACTTTTGTAACAGCATTTTTTAATCTTAGTTAATATTGATTCATGAATAAGTTAGTTCATAATCCATGAACGTATGCAGCGTTTCGCTGAGAGTGGTCACCTGACGTGTGTTGTGTCCTGTAGCTGGGGGCCGGATGATGATGGCCGGACGGTTGATGGACCGCATCCCTTAGGCAAGGTCAGTCTGAGTGGGCATCTCATCAGTGTAATGTGTTTATGAAGCCTTCACCATATGAGTGCAGGGTTCCCGCGGACCCTTAAAGTCTCAAAAAGTCTGTCTTATTTTTACTTATGAAAGGTTTTAAATTTTAGATGACACTTTGACTTAGACATATCTAAATGCTAAAAACTAATCTAATTAGCGTACGTATTATTTTTTATTATTCAATCTTTGTGGTTCTCTTACGAGAGTACTCTTGTGTTGCGTAAGCTAGCTTACGCTACGGGAAAATCCCTTTTCTCGAGAATACTGAAGCCAAAAAATTATCCTTTAATTTTTCATTTATTTAAAACGCATTGCTGCACAGAGCAGACCTAGGCGGGGCGACTCTCGCGCCCATTGGCTGCTCTGCGGCAAATGCTGCAACCTATCGGTGGACTGGTTGTGACGTAAGCACCAATGAGGGCGCCCTCGCACGTCACGTCCCGCCAGAATAGGCGTGGCTTATCCCTATATAAGCCGAGTCCAGATAGGGTGTTCTTTGATTTTTCATCTCTTCAGCGAAGTGTCCTCTTCACATTGCTGACTCTCTGGAGAAGCCGCACCGTCGAACAGCATTTCAGCGGGACGAGCCCTCTGCACTGCAGTTGGAAGCCGCCATCGCCGCTTCGCCGCCGTTCCTGCTGCGCTATCTGGCGCCTATATCCTTTTACTACTTTAATTCTCCTAAAAGAGCTCAAGGCATTGTTCCAAATGCCTCGTTTTTCTAAGTGCGGCTCTTGCCGAGCCCCCCCCAGCGACGCGGACCGCCACATTTTGTGCGTTTTCTGCCTGGGGAGGACCCACGCGGACCACGCGCTTTCCGAATGCGACTGCATGGCTGTGTCGACCCTGCAGGCTCGACTCGCCACTTTCGACGTGGATCCTGCTACTCCGTCTGGGCCGCGCCGCAAAAAGCGCCGTTCGCAGAGAGTGCCTGAGATTAACACCGTGAGCGAATGCATCCCCGCGCCTTCCCTGCATCGGTCTCTGTTTCCCCCGCCTCGATCACGGCCGGTAAGCCTATTCCTCCCGCTGTGCATCTGGAGTCTGAAGGGGACGACGCGGATGAAGATGCCTGCTCGCTTGCCGCCTCAGGGAGTGAAGGCGTCCTGTGTGCAACGCGTGAAAGCAGCTATCCTAAGGGTGGTCGGGCCCCGGTACGGGCCCCGCCCCTTCCGTGCTAGAATCTAGCAACTTGCAGACGAGCCTGGATGCTGAACTTCTCCGCCTCATTACCAAGGCCATGGAGGACCTCGGCCTCGATTGGTCGCCACCCGAGGAGCCCGCGCCCAGCCGGCTGGATAGCTGCTTTCTGCCGGCACGCCGATCAACGCCTCTCACTAGGCCCGCCCCTTTCCTGCCAGAGCTCCACGAGGAGCTAGCCAAGAGCTGGAAGGCGCCATTTTCTGCCAGGCTTCGCTCTACTGCCTCTTCGACGCTCTCCGTTGTGGACGGCGTGAAGGACAAAGGCTACCTCGCTATTCCTCAAGTCGAGGAAGCGGTGGCCACTCATCTGTGCCCGCCATCTGCTGGATGGCAGTCCAAGCCATTGTTGCCTTTTAAGCCCTGCAGGACCACTTCTGCTCTCATCGGTCGCGCTTATACCGCCGCCGGTCAAGCCGCTTCAGCACTGCACTCCATGGCTGTATTGCAAATTTACCAGGCCAACCTTCTCCGTACTATGGACGAGGTGGGCCTGAACCCTGAAAACTTCAGGGACCTGAGGAGTGCGACGGACCTAGCCCTGCGAGCTACTAAGTCTGCTGTGCAGGCCATCGGTCGGAACATGGCGTGCCTCACCGTGACCGAGAGACACTTGTGGTTGACGCTGTCCGATATGGAGTCGTCTGACAGAGCCACGTTTCTCGACGCGCCTGTGTCTCCTACCGGCCTCTTCGGTCCAGCGGTTAAGGGCTTCACCGAGTGTTTCACGGAGGTGCAGAAAACGTTGCAGGCCATGCGACATTTTATTCCGAGATGCTCTAGTTTCGCGACAGGTCGCTCAAAGCAACAGCCGTCTGCACGAAACTCAGCGCCACCGCCTCCTCAGCTGCCAGCCCCACAGCGCCATCGTCCTGCGGACTCCCGCCACTGCTCGCGCTCTTCCAGCCGTCACGCCTCCCCCCCCGGGGACCCCGACCCAAAATCGTGCTGAAACCTGAGCCCTCTAAGTCCTCCTGACCGCACTAAGACTAAGATGGCCTAGTCCTGCTGCGGCCGGACCGCCATTGAAAACAGTGCGCATCGCTCTCGCAGCTCCCTCAACAGAGGCGGCTGGAGCAGTGTATTTCACAGCCAACGAGCCTGTCACACGACCCGCTCGCCTGTACTTAAAGGCTACCCAGATAAATCTCAAAAAGAGCATTATATCTGTGCTTCCGGCTCATGCCGAAGGTGTCTTAAATGTAGGAAAAGTGCCCACTTCCCAGTGCCCACCCCTACACATAATCACGGCCCGTTCAGTGACACTCACTCATACACGGCCCACATTAATAAAGCCGGCTCACGCCGCCTGTGTTCTAAATTTAGTAAATGTGCCCACTGTTCAGTGCTCACCCCTACTCATAAACACGGTTTGCCCCGCTACACACACTCACTCAGAGTTTTCACTAATAAACACAGAGTGTGTTCTGTGTGCAGAGAGCGCGCACGCTGACAGACACTGCGAGCTGTGTACCACATATACACAGCGACCAGAGCCCGGGTATCATTCTCCCTCTAGCTTTGCGTTTGAAAGCTTGGGAAACAATCCCGGGCGTGTCAAAGTGGGTGCTAAACACTATAAGGCGAGGCTTCCTAGCCAGGGTCGAAACGACGGTGCAAAACGATGTAGCAAATCTACTTCGTGCTGAAATAGCGAAACTGTTATGAAAAGGGGCTGTAGAAACTGTCCCTCTGATTCAGAGCCAATCAGGTTTCTACAGCAGGTATTTCCTTGTCCCCAAAAAGGATGGAGGTCTCAGACCCATCCTAGATCTCAGGCGCTTGAACAGAGCACTGATGAAGAGATCGTTCAAAATGCTCACAACCAGACAAATCCTCGCGCAAATTCGCCCGAGGGACTGGTTTATCTCACTGGATCTGAAAGATGCTTATTTTCAGATAAAAAAAAATACCCCGTCACAGGCCGTTCTTGCGATTCGCCTTCGAGGGTCAAAGTTATCAGTACACCTTTAGCACCCCATACTTTCTCAAAGTGCATGGACGCGGCTCTCGCTCCCCTGAACTATCTGGACGACTGGCTTATTCTAGCCCAGTCAGAAACAGAACTGATAGTGCACAGGGCTTTATTGCTCAACCATTTGCGAGATTTAGGTCTCCAAGTCAGCAGCTTGCTATCTCCCAGTCAGAAAATTTCCTTTCTGGGGGACAGATTTAGACTCCGTGTCCATGACAGCACGGCTGACGTCACAGCGCGCTACAGATACAGCGCTCAGCGGCATCCTTCAAAGTCGGCAGTGTTTTCCTTCTCAAAAATGGTCTCTGCACCCCCAAACAGTCCAGTTACTGTGGGACAATTTTGGCAGAGCGGACATCGATCTCTTTGCGTCAGCAGAGAACGCGCACTGTCCAATATTTTTCACGAAGAGCAGGGACGCGCTGGCCCTTGACTGGCCCAGCCGCCCGCTTTATGCGTTTCCCCGATCGCACTATTACCACAGGTGATCAGCTCACGAGCTCAGCTCCTTGGGCGATTCCATTGAGAAAGGATCCCCTATCTCAGGCCGGGGGCACGATTTGGCACCTGCGCCCGGACTTATGGGCACTGCACTTGTGGACTGTCAACGGATACCTGCTGACCTCCCAGTCGGAGTGCTGAGTACAATTACACAAGCAAGAGCGCCCTCTACTAGACGGCTATGCTTCTAAATGGTCAGTGTTTTCTGGCTGGTGTTCGGCCCAAAACCTAGACCCACAACGCTGTGGCATCACGGAGATTCTCTCCTTCCTACAAGAGCTTCTGGACGAGGGCAGGTCCCCCTCCACGCTCAAAGGATATGTTGCAGCCATAGCAGCGTTCACAGAACCTCTGCATGGCCAGTCACTGGGAAGGAACGATCTTATCTGTGAGCGTGTCGTGCATGGAATTTGGGCCTAATGACTCTAAAGTTATGTTCAAACCGAGACACGGATATGTCCCCAAAGTGCTCTCCACTCCATTCAGAGCGCAAGTCATTTCTTTGTCAGCCCTTTCGGGAGCTGGCGGTGAGAACGACGTAAATCTCCTTTGCCCGGTCAGGGCTTTAAGGATTTACGTTCAACGATCTGCTGCTTTCAGGCAGTCAGAACAGCTTTTTGTTTCGTTCGGTGCCCGCACCAAGGGGCTAGCTACCTCGAAACAGAGCATTTCCAGATGGATAGTTGATGCTATCGCTTTGGCTTATAAGTCTAAAGGCCTTCAATGCCCTTTAGGTGTTAGAGCCCATTCCACTAGAAGCATGGCCTCTTCTTGGGCCTGGACTAGTGGTGTTTCACTCCAAGATATTTGTAGTGCGGCAGGCTGGGCCTCCCCGTCTACATTTATACGGTTTTACAACCTGGAGGTTCCTGCCTTGCAGGCTAAACTGTTCTCAGTCTGAGGCCATTTTTGTCTGGCAAACTGGTTCAGTTCTGTTTTTTACACAGCTCAGTCTGACTTAGTCCACGCCGACTGTTATATTGTGTTAAGCACTCATTTATATTTGATGTGTCACACTCCCTATATACGGTCATCATTTATTCTCGGGCCCACACTCGTCGGCCCAGATATCTTTCACTATTATGTGTTCCCCGGGCACCTGCCCTTGGGACCATGTGTGGATGATCTCAGCACGCACGGCGCTTTAAACTGAGTTCCCGTAGCGTAAGCTACGAGTACTCTCGTAAGAGAACGACACTCGGTTACTAACATAACCTCGGTTCTCTCTAGAAGAGGGAACGAGTTTTGCGTAACCCCGCCGTGCAAGTGCTGCGTTCTGGTTTCGCTTCAGTATGAAAAACCGAAAAACACCCTATTTGGACTCGGCTTATACAGTATAGGGATAAGCCACGCCTATTATGGCTCATTGGTGCTTGCATCACGACCAGTCCACCGATAGGTTGCAGCTATCATTTGCCGCAGAGCAGCCAATGGGTGCGCAAGCCGCCTTGCCTAGGTCTGCTCTGTGCAGCAATGCGTTTTAAATAAATGAAAAATTAAAGGATGATTTTTTGGCTTCAGTATTCTCGAGAAAAGGGATTTTCCCGTAGCGTAAGCTAGCTTATGCAACACGAGAGTACTCTTCTAGAGAGAACCGAGGTTACGTTAGTAACCGAGTGTCGATTTGCTTGTTCACGTGACCATTCGCGGCAGCACATCAGCCTACGTCTGTCTCCTGCATGAGAGAGGAGAAGCACGCTGGTAAATATCCGTTCAGTTGTAAGTTCATTCTTTATGTGCGTAGTGGTGTGCGATGTGTGTTGTCTATGATGATATTGTAATCATTGTTTTAACGATGTACGAGGCACTGCGAGCTGACATCGCGTTTGTGTCTCGTGCTTTCACTGCGTGATCTGTGCAGTTTATAGGTATGTTCCCAAATGAGTTTTTGTCTTATTTATATGATATTATGTTCTTATATTAGAATATCACATGAGCAAGAGGGCCGTTTTCCCATGCACAATAGCAAATGTGATATTTATTTTATACAACAGTTAAATTAACAATAAGTTAACATTGTGAGTTAGCCTACTTTTTAGACAGAATATTGTCAATATTGTTTGTTTTCCCTTTATTTCTCCGACGAGAATTTTGAAATGAAACCGTAGCAGAGTCACAATGCAACAGACGGCGATGATTTTTTTGACTGAAATCCGTGCTTTAAACCAATCAGTTTAATGATTTAACAATTACTTGCTTTTCCCGAATGAATCAGCCGTTTGAACAAATCGGCTGAATGAATGACTCCCTTAACTCAGTTAAGACGGTGACTTAAAAGTACCCTTTAATTAGAACTTTAAAATTAGAAATCATTTAATATTTAAATATTGATTTAAAAAAAAAACTCTCATAGCTTTACTTATGCAATTGTAAATATATTATTGCCAGTTCTGATGCCGCTTCTGTGTGGATTTTGATTTAATTTGACTGGTAACAGTGGTATTGTATTATTATTTTAATAGAATTTAATTTAAATGTTAGTATTTGACATAAAAGGTGATGCATACCTCTAAATAAGTTTAGAAAAAATGTCCATATATAGGTGAAAATGCCCCTGGAAATCAGTTTAAGGTGGCAAATATTGACCCTTAATAAAAATGTTGATTTCTGTCACTACTGTGAACTGACACTGCATAGAATATGAAGAATATAAATATCTTTGTGAGTCTATGGTCAACAACTGTCCTAAATCAGCCATGGCACCAGCACAAAAACACAATCAGTAAAATATCATCTAATTATTATCAACAAAACTTTGAAAATATCGAGATATGTTTTTGTCAATATTACACACCCCTAATGCACTGTATTAATTTTGATTTCCTCAGGTCTTAAAAAGCCTTAAATCTGACTTTAAAAAGTGTTTGTTCTTTCACCGACACACAGTGGCGCTTCGGCCATAGCTTTAGCAGATCAATATAGCAACCAGAGTTCAGCCAGCGAAGGGTTAGAAACACAAAGTCATCACTCAGTACAGTAGTCCCTGTTTTAGTGTGATTTTGAGGAGTCATGCAGTCCCTGGTCTCTCCTACAGGCGGCGCTGCAGCACGGCGTGATCGCGGGCCGGAAAGGGTTCGGCAGCATCTTCGTTGTAGCCAGTGGCAACGGAGGACAGTATGAAGACAACTGCAACTACGATGGCTATGCTAACTCCATCTACACCGTGACCATTGGTACAGTTCTCTCTGCGCAGTCACGAGTGTGTATGTCTGCTTCAGATGTGTATCAGTGTCAGTGACGTGTGCTTGCAGGAGCGGTGGATGAGAATGGCAGGAAGCCGTTTTACGCTGAGGAGTGCGCCTCTATGCTAGCAGTGACCTTCAGCAGTGGAAGCAGACAACTGCGCAGCATCGTAAGCATTAGCAACCTGCTCAAGTCTGCTGTATTAGAGTGAGTGGGTGGAGGAGAACATGTCGTCCAAGAAGCCCTTCTTGCCTCAGTCTCTCCAACCTGTTCAAGCTGCCTTAAGTTAACAGTCTGACATTATCATGGATGGTCAAATAGCCCGCGCTGGTCAAGAAGGAAAGTCAGTGGATGTTTTCACCGGAGGATCAAGTTTAGATATTTTGAGTAAAAAAAAAATACAAAAAATAAAGATATACAGTTGTCAACATTTGAAGTGGATCAAAAAAGTTCATCAAAGTTGTCCTAAGACAAGAACAGGTATTGTTCCAAATTCATGTACAACTTTGATGAAAGGTTTTGACCCACTTCAAATGTGGACTACTGTACATAAGAGCTGCCCGATTAATCGTTGCAAGATGTTGATCTCGATTCAAACACACACATGATCTCATTCCTAAATGACAGTGATTCGGCGCTGTTGACGAGTGCGATCACACATGCAGATCAGTGTTCTGATCCAGAGAGAGCCGTTGTCATGAATTGGTATGAAACCGCTTCACAAACTTTCAACACACAGGTTCATTATTTTTGTCTTACAATCATTCACATTATAGAGTAAATCACCTTCTGAAAGTAACTTGAAAAGATTGTATCATTACAATGGTACACCAGTAGGTGGCGACAGGAGTGTTAAAGAATGTATTTCTCATTGAATCATTCAAGAGATTCGTTCAAAAAAGCTGATTCATCCAGTATATGAAACAAGTCTTTATGAGTGAGTCATTAAATCATTCATTCAAACCAAATTTTTTTTTTTTTTTTTTTTTTTTAAATAGACGCAGCAATTAACATGTCAGAACCTCTAGTAAATTACATGTTATTTTGTTTAGTTCTCTACTCAGAATCATGGGAGAATCGTGATCTCTATTTTAAACAAAAATCAATTCACCCAGAATTGTGCAGCTTATGGATGAATCCGATCTATAACTTGCATTTAGAAAATAGCATTGCATTTTAATTAACACACACTTCAATAAACACACTATTAAAATGTAAAACTTCAATGTACTGAAGTATCAGTTATTTGACACTGGAGCTCGCCCAGCTCTAGTTAGAGTGGGGTGTAGGGCTGTCAACTTTAGTCGTTTAGTCGACTAATCGGTCGATGCCGTCTTGGTCGACTGACATTCTTATTGGTCGACCAGTTGCATTTTTTTTTTTTTTTTTACCAATAGAAAGAAATTTTCAATGATTATTTACTCCTTGCTATTTATTCCTTTATAAGCAGTTATATATTACTGTATTCTAAATATAATTAGCCTATGGTTTATCCCCAACTTTAAATGCTTTAATTTAGGCTATTTTGTACCAGCGCCACAGTTTAGCGCACACACATTGAACACTTGGTTTGCACCTGTGGCTGCGCTGCTGCTTCGTGCTCAGTTCAGCTGTATTCATTCAGTTAGAACGCTACTTGTTTCGGTTTTTATACACTATATGTTTTTATCTCGATGCGGCGTGGACGCACTTGGAAAAAATAAAGCGCGTCGCACCGCGACCGTTGCTTCCATCATGAGCGCGCACACCGCGCGCCTACATTTGAAATCGAACTTGAGCGCGCAAAAGACGTGAGCAGTCCCGGCTTTATCATGCTGACTCAATAGATTGTGTTTTCTTGATATGTTTTTGTTTTTATTTGTACACTTCGACGCATTTGAAAATAGCCTAAATAATGTAACAAAACGAAAATAAACCTATATGTGGTCCTACAATACAGCCTATTATTATTAGGATTATTTTTTAGGCTCTTTGGGTTTTTGTGTGTGTTTGTTTTAAAACTCCTAGATCGGCTGGACAAAAGTTAACCCATAGCTTTGAAAGTAAAGAAGAATATACAGCCTGTATAAACGAGAGCTTTTGTTAGGATTTTTCATTGTGGCAGATAGCAGTTATATATTTGTGTAGTGTGTGGTGTGGTCAGGTGCGCGATTGTGACTGTCACTATAGACCTAGGACAGAGCTCCTAACTTTGCAGTTAAAAAAAAATCACACGACGCAAGGGCGCCCGCGCTACAAAACTAACATTTTTATTTAAAACATTGTCTTACCTGCAAGCGAGTATCATCCCGCTGTCTCTTCTTTTTCCTTTTTTCCACCCCCGACTCTTGGTGCCTTTTCGAGGCCATGTCTAAGGTCGGTGTCTGCCAAATTTGACATTGATTGAGGCATAATCGAACAGACCACTGGGAGGTGGGGAAGGGGGGGCACCAGAGGGAGACTGGCACAGGAGATTCACCTTTTTCTCGACTAATTTGGTCTAGGCCTATATTACTTTTGTATTGCTTTTGTATATTAACATGCTTTAGACATATTTTATTTGTTATTTATACTAGTAGCCTATTGTGATGATTTTTCACGACCCAGATTTTTTGGTGCCCCCCCAAGCACTTGGTGCCCTACGCGCAGCGCGTGATGTGCGTGTGCGGAGCGCCGGCCCTGGCTCTATGACAATTGTTAAAAAATGTTCAATCAAAACATCCGTCTTTTTTTTTCTTTTTTTTTGTCGACTAATCGTTGCGCAGGACAAGACTTTGGTCGACTTACTGTGCGTTCACACCGGACGCGAATAGCGCGTCAAATTCGCGTCTACCACGTCTAGTTATACGCTTGACCACTTTGTGTTAATTCGCGTGTCAATGTCGAAATTGACGCGCGTAACAACAAAAGTTTGAAGCGAAATTTACGTGCGTCAGAGGCGAAATCCGGAGGCGAAAGTTTCGAAACCCTTTGGCGGCCATCTTTTTAGATGTTTATGGAGCATTAGCATTAGCATTATTCGAGAGAGTCACCGCTCGTATATGCTCTGGAGAGCAGAAACAGCTGCGTAGGGGACATCGTCGCTGTACTCGGGTCCACCAGACCCTCCGGAGGGTTTCAGGAGTTTCACAATTTGCTCCAGGAGCTAGGTTTGGTGGACCTAACGGTGAGGACGCTGACGAGGACAGCGTAGGCCGTATAAGCCCTCGGCCTCGAGTGGTCTATGCCTGTCGAGCCCGCGCTCTACAGCCCGGCGCGAGGTTCACCCTCGCCCGCATCCACCTAATCTGTCATTTATTTTTGTTTTGATAATAAACGAAGCCAGCCTCCAAAAGTGATTAATCTGTCCTGTGATTTTTTTCTCTCTCTCACACATCACTGTCCAGACACGAACTTATATGTTGGTTGTCTTTACATTATAATAATATTTCATATAATCTAGATATGGAATAAATAGCATTCAATGCAAAATGAATATGTCTCATATATTGAAATCAAGTTTTATGTGATAAAATATTTGCTTTGTTGTGCATTAGAACCACAGTCATATATTACAAAATAATTTATTGAAGCATCCAGATACTTCACCACGTGACAGCAGCAAGCAGCTAGGCTCCTGATTGGTTAACGCGGCGCGAATTGACGCAGAAGTTCAGATTTTTCAATTCGGGCGGCAGACGCGAATTCGCGTCAAACGCGTGAATGCACAAATAGCACTAACTAAATCATTCGCGCGTAACGCGCTTAACGCGCCAGACGCTCAATTCGCGCCATTCGCGCGAACGAGGCGTATTCGCGTCTACCGCGCCGCGCTCTACGCCTCATTCGCGCCGCAGGAATTTTTTACGCGCGTAACGCGTCTTTGCATTGACTTAACATTGAAATCACTCGCGCCTGACGCGCTATTCGCCTCCGGTGTGAACGCACCATAAGGATTTCTTTGGTTGACTACAGCCCTAGTGGAGTGTGTGTGTGTGTTCTCCTGACGTGTGTGTCCTGTGCCCAGGTGACGTCGGACTGGTCTCTGCAGAGTGGCACGGGCTGCACTGACGGGCACACGGGCACGTCTGCAGCGGCTCCTCTGGCCGCAGGGATGGTGGCCCTCATGCTGCAGGTGCGGCCCTGTCTGAGCTGGCGGGACGTTCAGCACATCATCACCTTCACCGCCACACAGGTAACTCATCACTCATGCGTCAGGGCCAGCGATCTGCTGTCCTACAGTCCTATAAACCAGTACATGAGTTAAAAACTGTAAATAAACAGAGATCAACCTACATCAGCCAGGCAGCGATCACAACCTACAACTCTCTCGTCAATGTAACATGGACCGAACTAAACATTAGCCTTAAACTTAACTAACTTAAACTGTTATTTTTTAGCATGTTTGTATACACAGTGTGGACAGCCGATCCTTTAGATCAGATTCCAATCGGATACACAAATAATCGGATTCGGACTGACAGTGTAAATTTAGCCCAATGTCATATACAACAACGCAGTCATAAAACCTCTTCTTGAAGCGGATCTCCTGGCACTACTAAGACACCACTAAGCCCTAAGCTACATCTAGTAGAGTGGGCCGTACTGCCCAAGGGGTAGGCAGGGTGTCCGCGGGGTTGTAAAAAGTAGTAAAAGGTAGTAAATGAAATTAGCCAAAATAAAGGCCATTAAAAAGTAATAAACGTCATCTGACAAGGTATTACATTTTCGAACCCCCGTCCAACCTATGAGCCCCCATCCTATGAGTTTCAAAAAAGTGCAGGACTTTGTTCTAAAATTCGCGTGGATTTATTTACATGTTGTGAGTAGGACCTGAGCGATACAGGGCTTAAAGTACTCCGGGACCGTGCCGGATCTCCGGCGTGCGGCCGTGAGGGGGAAAAAAATTGTGAACTTGCAAGCGGTTTAAAATTTTCGAGTCAATTGATTTCACCTACCAATCATATGAGAGGAGCGCAGCTCTAACTAACGTCACAAGCCTATCAGAAGCAGAGCAGGGCGGGTCCTGGCGACACCGTGTGATTGAGATCCATACGTCACATTAGCGTCGTCGGTGAAAGCATGGAGCGCAAGTTCATGAAGCCTGGGGATGATGTCTTACCCACGGGCGTAATTTCCTATGCGGACGGGGGGACATGTTGTCCGCATAGGAAACAACATGTCCCCCCCCCCCCCCCCCACTTTCAAATTAGTTTGTTATGATTTTTAACCGCACGCCGTCATTGCCACGGAGGAGCAGGACCGAGCCTGTGTAAAACAGCTCACTGAAAGTGCTAATGAGCAGGGATAGCGGTCGCGATCATAGACTATAAAAAAAATAGATTGGGATACAGTCAGTGATGAAACGCCAGAAGCAACAACAGGCTAATGTCATCATGGATGAACAGAAAGGAGATGTGAGTCGGTTGATTCAGGAAATTAGCTCAGGTCAGGATAATGGGGAACTTCAGACTGTTAGCTAAATATTAAATGTAGAACATTCTGTGTAGGCCTACCATGAAGCCGAGTCCACTTCAAACCGCAGTATTTTCTGTCAGCAATGTATGACGAGTGCTGTCAACGTCAACGCATGCGATTCATTTTTGTCCAGCTTTAACGTGTTAGATATTTAACGCAATTAACACAGCATCCGTTCTTTCTGTCATCCTTTAGCTAGGGTTATGATCACGCTCTTATTCACGCCTTTAAACCACTCATGCCCGACAAGACAAAAGAGATCGCGCTGTCAGTGAATGTCCTCCTGATGCACACACACGCACACACACACACACACACACATGCGCACACACACACACACACATACATACATGCACACACACGCACACACACACACGCACACATGACGCACACATGACGCACACACACGCACACACACACACTCACTCTCACACACACACACACACACACACACACACATGTTGTGTTTTCATGTTTTATGGGGACTTTCCATAGACATAATGATTTTTATACTGTACAGACTGTATATTCTATTCCCTTACACTAACCCTATCCCTAAACCTGCCCATCACAGGAGACATTCTGCATTTTTACATTTTCAAACAACATCACTTAGTATGATTTATAAGCTGATTTCCTCATGGGGACCAAAAAATGTCCCCACACGAACAAGGATTTCGGATATTGCCATCCTTGTGGGGACATTTTGTCCCCATAACGTAGGGTTTACCAGGCCACACACACACACTCACACACACACGCACACACGCACACACACACTCACACGCACACACACACACACACACACTCACACACGCACACACACACACACGACGCACAGAAAGACTCGCGCCAGTATCGAGTTCTCTTTCGCGCTTGAACGAACAATAACACACACACTTATGCCAGAATATCCGTTTTGTCGAGTATCCTCACAAGAACAGTCTTAGATGAGTTAAATACAATCTTAAATGGAAGTAAAGAGTAGTGAGATAATGAGATGCGTGAGATCCTGTCCGCAGCGGCAGATCTTAAAGTGACAGGAGCCATTAACTCTGTCTGTCAGTAAAGTTAACCTAAAGAACAGAGGGAACAGAGTAAACTACTCACTGCCCTTTACTAAAGAACGCTTGTAGCTGTAATAAGGATTAATCTATATTTCATTTAAAATGTATGCAGTGCGGACTGTTTTATAACCTTATTCGATTTCTGTATGGCACAGGTAAATATGACATTTATTATGGGTTTAAGTGAGGATTGTTTCAAGTTCATTTAAATAAAAAGAAATAAAAAATTGGAAGCCTAATAAATGTTTAAAATTTGGGGGAAAATCATTTTCAGCGAGACATCAGTAGCTATAATATTAGTGATACTGGCCTTGATTCATAAAAAAGATGACATTAAGATACAGCTGTAATACTTTAATACTTTGCCATTGAAGATAAAAAAGTTCAGGCTCAGGAATTTTTTTCACTTTAACCCCTGGCGATATCATGTGACGTGGTGTTCGTTCGCGCGCTGGGTACCCGGCTGGCTTGCTGCCCAACCTGTTCGCGAGTCCGCTTCTATTTCAGTCATCAGTCGGCCGCCAGAGCCATATTTGATCAGTGAGTAGCCTAATGCAGACGACTGACTGCTGAAAGAAGGAACAGAGAGAGAGCCCCGGCTGCGCGCGCACTCTATTCACTCTTGCGCTCTCTCCCTCGCTCATCTTAATCAAAATCAATTAACACGATGGTAAAAGGTCGGAAGGCCGAAGTTTCACGTAATTGTAAATGTATTTCCCGCTGTGTGTGAATTGTGCTAAAAAAACGTTGCCTTATCTTCTCTGAAAAGCGTTCCCCACATTCAGATGACATAGCTAAACCACACTTTCAATAAAGGAAAAATCTATCCTAAAAAACCTATTTGTTGACACAAATTTTGTGCGATGTCCTAACTGATGGGATAACCACACAATGCGTACACGTCCGCTAATGACGCGTCACTTTAATGAATGGTTAAAGCAACTGATCTGTCCTCACGGGACTTCTGAATCGGTACACAGTATGGTTCCATTTATTAAAATCTAGTTAACATGAACTATTAATAAACTGCTCGTCTACAGCATTAATTAATCTTCCTAATGTTAATTTCACCATTTACTAGCCTACATCATTGAAATCAAAAGTTGTATTTGTTAACATTAGTTAATGCACTGTGAAGTAGCATGAACAAACAATTCATGTATGTTGTAAACTATGTAGTATTTTCAGGTTATTTATATTATAATGTGTAGAAACATTGCCAAAATAAATAATAATAATTTAGTTTAGACTGGAGTGAGGTGAAACCAGAAAAAAAGTGCAAAGCAAGTTATCTAGCAGCAGTTTTTTTATTTAATTTTTTTTTTTTTTTGGCAGCTAATTCTATTCAATTTTACAGTATATGGTAGAAAATTAGACTTAGTTAAAATAAACTTTTTAATGCTTCGTTTTTATTCTACTTTTTGATATTGATATGATTATATACCAAAACAATTATCAGGTCCAGCAAAGAAAGAGTTTGTTACAAAGCTATGAAATCAAGACTAGTAAAATCACAGCTTTGAAAAAAGAAAAACCGGATAAAGGCAAGAAAAGATACCAGTGTCTGTCGGCCACCACCGAAGACCAGTTTTGACCAAGAAAAAACCCTGGACATTATGGGGAAATGCAAGTTTTCGAAGATATTTCATTACTTTACCTTTACCTTTACGCCACTACAGTTGCACCTTGAAGTCGTGCTGGTATTAAAAAATATTGTGAAGGTGTTGAAAGGTATTAAATTCATTTTAAGAAGTTCTGTATATACCCTGGGTAGGCAGTCCGGTCGATTCATAAGCAAGATGGATAGCCTCGACTATGCATTTGCTCATCCTCTGCTTAGGTGCAGGGGAGCCTTTATTAGGAGGTCTTTTAACTGGACACGGGAGATTATATCTTTCCTGGTCGGCATCCCGGAATGGAGGAGGACAGAAGGCCTGCAGAATGATGGATCTGGCCACATTAGTGCCTTTACCATGCCGGGCGCAAAGTCCAAGCACAAAGGGGAAACCGACAAAGCTTGTAAATCTCCTATCCTTTTAAGAGAAGTAATAGCCAGAAGGAACAATGTCTTGAGAGTCAGAAACTTGACTGGAACCTCATCAATCGGCTCAAAGTGAGCCAGGGATAGGCCTTGAAGCACCACGGCCAAAGCCCATGCCGGGACCCTAGTGCGTTCTGCAGGCCTCAGCCTCGGTGCCACGGAGGAAACATGTTATTAAGGGGTCTCTCCCTAAAGATATGCCACCCAAAGGAATGTGGTAACCAGCTATGGCCACCCAGGCCCGGCGCCACAGGGGGCAAAAGGGGCATTGCCCCCTCAGATCTGATTTGTGCCCCCTCAGTTTCATTTTTGTATTCATGGTTACAAATGAAATGTTTACCTTTTGAGCGGTACGGTCCCATATGGGATGTATAATGTTCAGTGACGTTATGTTCAGCCAGAGACGGACGAGCTCAGCCCTGTCATATATCAAAACAATGCAGTGTTTTCAACCTCATAATGTTTATTTTAGGTTTCAGACATTGAAATACACATAAGCACTAGTAAAACAATACATTTGGAGTTTGTAAAATACACACGGATGTCTGTGGAAGCAGTAATAAATTAAAAAGGCTAATTATATATTCAAATATAATTAGCCAACGTGTGTTATTCATATCAGACAAACATAGGGGAAGTGACTATAAAGTTTACTCTATTTTTCTCACAGTTCATCGGCCACTTTCTTACATATATTTCGGGAGAAACTGATGACTGACGTCTGACAGGACTCTCTGAACTGCGGCGCAAATAAACATGGTGGCGCCCATCTCACGTTATAGATCAAGATCAAGATTATTTATAAAGGTTTTAAACGACCAAACACACTCACTTACACATTTTTGACAATCGGAATATCAGATAGTTGATGACATGGTAAACAAGTTTGTGAATATTTTTAATAAAAAAGGAAAAAGGAAATAAAAACGATACACATCTGTCATTCATTATTGTGGCTGCGGTGTGTCACGTGACAAATATGATGCGTTGCCATGGGAACATTAAGGGGGAACGTACTAAAATAAAAACTCACTCCGGGGAGTCAGTTAGAATATTTTAAACGTATTTTTAAGCGTGAAAGAGTTCATATATGAATAATAAATTATGCTGGCTTATCATTTTATTACGTGGTTACCTGTGCAGTTGCATATGGGGTGTTTTATGGAGCGCTGCATTTAAAAATCTGTTGTTCCAAAGCGAGTTGTGTATTGATTGTTCATTGATGGTATAAAGTTAAGCCCCCTTAACAATTTCACATGTCCCCTCAGTCATTTCATCCTGCAGCCGGGCCTGTGGCCACCAGATATACCTTTAATGTAATGAACCGCTCTTTCAGGAACTCCAGCACTGTACCAACAGGGCAATTAACTGGGTCCAGCTGATGACCAGTGCACCAAGAGGTGAAAACTCTTCACTTCAAGGCATACAGTTTCCTGGTGGAGGGAGCTCTGGAGTGTAGAATGGCCTCCACAACCTTGGTTGAGAGACCAGTGCCTATGAGCTGGGCCCCCTCAGAGGCCAAGCCCTCAGCTTCCATTGTTCTGGACGGGGGTGAAATATTGAGGCCCTTTGCCTGGGTCAACAGGTCCCTCCTGATCGCCCACCTCGGTGCAATCAAGGTGAGCCAAACTTTGTCCTGGTGAACTCTCTCCAGAACCCCATGGGAGCAGAGCGATCGGGGGAATAGCATACAAACGTAGCCTTAGAGCCTTAGCCACGTCTGTACCATGGCGTCCAGCCCCAGCGGAGCTGGATGCGTGAAGGAGAACCAGAGTGGATAGTGAGACGTCTCTCGAGATGCAAACACATCCACTTGTGCCTGGCTGAACACCCTCCATATCTGCTCCACCACCTCGGGGTGGAGCCTCCGTTCCCCGGGCCTCGGCCCCTGTCTCGACTGGGTGTCTGCTCCTATGTTCTGGGCCCCAGGGATGTAAGCCGCTCTGAGTGACGGTATCTTCCCCTGGGACCACAGGAGGATTTGGTGCGCCTGTTTGCAGAGTGGACGCGAGTGCAAATCCCTCTGGTGATTTATATAGGGGACCACCGATGCGTTGTCTGTGCGGACGAGCACATGGTGGCCTCTGAGGTCTGCGAGGAAATTCTTTAAGGCAAGAAAAACAGCCATCATTTCCAGACATTTGATTTGCCAAGAAAGATGGACTCCCCCCCCACAGTCCTTGAGTCGGACGACCCTCTAGGATTTCTCCCCATCCTGTGAGGGAAGTATCCGTCGTTAGCATCTTGCGACGACAAAGAGCTCACAGCATGGGACCTTGGGATAGGAACAAGGGTTTCTTCCACATAACCAAGACAGGAAAGCATCGCCGCGTGACCTTGATCATGCGAAAAGGATTGCCCCTCTGGGAAAACCCCCTGGTCCTGAGCCACCCCTGCAAGGGTCTCATGTACAATAGGCCGAAAGGTATCACGTTGGACGCTACCACGCCTAGAAAAGTGGTCCTCTGAACTGAAAGTACACTCTTGTTGATGTTCAACCTCAACCGCTCCATGTGCGCGAGAGCAAACCTCGATGTCCGCTAACTAATGCGACTGAGCTGAAATCAACCAATCGTCGATGTAGTTCAGAATGCGAATGCCTCATAGACACAGTGGGGCTAGCGCCGCATCCACGCATTTCGTGAATAAAGCTAGACCTAATGGAAGAACCTGATACTGGTAAGCTTTGCCCCCGAAAGCGAACCTCATGAACTTCCTGTGTTGTGGAAGGATGGATACATGGAAGTATGCGTCCTTGAGATCTATTGTAATGAACCAGTCCTTGGATCTCATATGTGGTACGATCTGTCTTGAGGTTAGCATTTTGAATTTAAGCTGCATGACAGACTGATTCAGAAGGCACAGATCCAAAATGGGACTCAACCCCCTATTCTTCTTTGGAACGATAAAATACCGGCTGTAGATACCGGTCTCTCTGTCGGGAAGAGGTACACATTCTATGGAGAGTATGGGTAGCGATGCTCGGCTTTTTTACGGTACGAGGACCTGGCTTTAGTGGTTTGGGGCTGCTCCCGCTCAGGTGGGCCTCTAGGGGCGACGCAGACTGAGGGAGAGATAGCTGGCAAGCGTCTCCTTCACCTTAGGCATCGCCCCATAGCCGGGCCCTTCATGCCTACTATAGATGAATAGTGTGTGATTGTGCACTATGTTTTTTATAGGAGACCGGTGTCCTTCAAATGGCAGGCCCCGACGAGGAGGTTGTGCTTGTGAGGGCAGAAAACGTTTATCCAGTTTGGATTTAGAAAAAAGTTATCGCGCAATTATTTAAGATGAATTACCAATCAGTAATACAATTAATAATAATAATAATAATTCATTACATTTATATAGCGCTTTTCTTCGCACTCAAAGCGCTTCACATGGAAGTGGGAATCTAATCAACCACCACCAATGTGCAGCATCCACTTGGATGATGCGACGGCAGCCATATTGCGCCAGAACGCCACCACACACCAGCTTACTGGTGGAGAGGAGACAGAGTGATGAAGCCAATCAGTGTATATATATATGGGGATGATTAGGAGGCCATGATGGACAGAGGCCACTGGGCAAATTTGGCCAGGATGCCGGGGTTACACCCCTACTCTTTCGAAAGCCATCCTGGGATTTTTAATGACCACAGAGAGTCAGGACCTTGGTTTAACGTCTCATCCGAAGGACGGTGCTCTTTGACAGTATAGTGTCCCCAGGCCCGCATTAATGCACGGGCTTACTGGGGCTGAAGCCCCAGGGCCTATGAAGACAAGGGGCCTATCATAAGCCCCCCAAAAAAATCACATTGTTTTGTAATTTGTCTAATTTTCTGTCAATCACTTGATATTCATGTTTTTGGCTGCTGATTGATCCAATTTACAAGTGACCCACGTGTGAAGCATGATATGACAGCCTATCAGAATGTAGAGAAACAGTTGCAGTGAGAAGGAATTGTTAAAAAAAATTCCAAAGCTAACAGGATTTTTTTAAACCTGCAAATGAAGGTGAGTCCAGCTCATTAAGCGGAGCACTGATCGTCAGTGGAGAGGACAAGCAAACAGGCGGGCAGTGTTAATTTCGTTGAAGAATAATTTGCGTAATTATTTTCGTCAACAAAATTTTTTCACAGACAACGAGACGATACGGTCCCGACCCGAAGCGTGCAGCCCTGGCCTGCACATATAACGTTAGACAGACAGCGCGTGAGGACTAAATTGAGCTCTCTTTCGCGTCTGAATGGACAAATACACACAACATTATTTCTAAATGTCCGTTATAGAGAGTATTCACGTAAACACAGTCGGTTATGTCTTTACAGAACGTACAGTTGTGAGAATATTGGATGTGCATCAGTGCAATTGGATCTGCGCACTCGGTCTTAAAGTGACAGTGCGTAATAAACCTAATGCCGTCTGTACACTTAATATTAATCTAACAACAAAATAAAAAGAGAAAAGCATTCACTGCTCTTTAATAGCTTTAATATGGATTAATTATACTTAAATTATACAAATAAATATGTCTGCGTGAAAGAATAAAGAATGATGTATGTAAGTTAAAGACTGCATAATCATTAATTGAAGAAAAAAAAGACTGTTCTACTTTAGGAGAAGAAGTGTTTATATTTAATTTTAAGATATTATGTTATGTCACCGTGCTAAATCTGTGTCTGTACAGTATTGCATGTTCAAACTTTAAAAATGATTAATGTTAATAGATGTTTTCTACGGGAATATATAATGAGTTTGGAAATTTTAGAGAAATTCTAAATTAATGCATTAGAATTTCACCAAACCCATTCGATTTTAGTCGACTAAATCTACTGTAAATTTAGTCGACTAAAATCTTATTGTATTTCGTAGACTAAAACTAGACTATTTACTGCTTTCCAGTATAGCCTGTGCTGTGGAGGTTTTACATTGCTGTTGTTGTGGATTTTTTTATGGAATACTGTTTTCGTTAGGCTATATCTCCCAGAGAGAAACTTATTTCTGCTTTTGTTGTATAGACAAACGTGATCATTAGACTTTTTTTTTTTATTGTGGGCCTACAAAACCTCTCAGCCCCAGGGCCTAACGGCAGGTTAATGCGGGCCTGAGTGTCCCCATTACTATACTGGGGCGTTAGGACCCACACAGACCACAGGGTGAGCGCCCCCTGCTGGCCTCACTAACACCTCTTCCAGCAGCAACCTGGTTTTCTCAGGAGGTCTCCCATCCAGGTACTGACCAGACTCAGCCCTGCTTAGCTTCAGTGGGCAACCAGTCTGGGGCTACAGGGTGAAATGGCTGCTGAACAATTAGAAAAATGTTGCTGTTGTATTATTATTATTTAAACTATTAATGTTAATGTTTTAATGATGTGTGTTCAGCATGACGCACAGGCGGACTGGAGAAGGAATGGAGCCGGTTTCCATCACAGCCACATGTACGGCTTCGGCTTGCTCAACGCCTGGAGGCTGGTCAACGCTGCCAAGGTCGTGCGTGTGTGTGTGTGTGTGTGTGTGTGCTTTCATACAAACACAGTTGACATAAACAAGCTGAGAGTCTGTCTGTATGTCTGGCAGGTTTGGGAGTCCGTCCCCTTCTTGGTGTCCTACCAGAGCCCAGTTTTAAAGGCCAATGAGATCATCCCAGCCCATCCGAAAACGCTCACTCACACTTGGAATGGTAAGAGATTTATATGGAGGATTTTCTTTGGATAAACAACAGAATGCAGTATGAATTGTGGGTAGAGCTCTTAAAAACATGCACCCTGAGTACATTTTCTTTATTTCAGTATTTAAATGTTCAACTTAACCGAGATATGATTATTAGCTGTTTTCCGATCAGTAGTTGGCCATAGACAGGGCTATTATGGCAGCAGTGTGTGCTGAGCAGGGCTCTGTTAAATGGACAGCAGTTTTCTGCCCTTACTTGGAAGTGTTTGTGTGTTTAAGTATACAAGTGAAAGTGAAATGTTGCTTCCCCTTTCATTTACGCTCACATCTTTCTCGCTGTTTTCATTTAGTCCTCTCTGTCTTTAGTCAGTTGGGTGAGAACCGGGGCATTTCTTGCTCTCTTTGAGAGTTGTTCCCTCTCTGAAAAACTGTTTGTCTTTTGAACTGAATCTTCTGACACAATTCAGCAGCATTTGGGAAATATGTGTCCACTTACACATTATTTAGAAGTGACTTTTGCAACTGAGCGTCACTAGACAGCACTAATGGAGCAACGCACAGAAAGCGGAGGTGGCCTGCAGACCTTATTTATGCTTTTGTTTTCCTCCTGTGACACTAATTTGCTATTTTTACATTCAAGCTTTTATTATTAGTCTTACTCCGTTAAAATGATAGACTAGATGTTCTAGATTGAGATCCTCATATCTTGGAATTGGAACATATAGTGACTTTAAAATGAAGATACCAAAAGAAAAAGTTTATTAAGAACCAACGTCTAAAAGCATATTAAAATGTCTTTAATACTTCTTGAGGGACAGGCATGAAAACTTTCACAGTCACTGTTGGCATAAATATGCAACAAAGATTGCTTGGCAATAGATTTGACTAAAAGACCTACAAATCATCTATTAAAATAAAAGAATGATGCTGCCATCTTTCCAAGTCATTTTTACTCCCCTGTTAATTGGCTTCGAATCTCAGGTGAAAATTGTCATTCTGAGACCCTCTACACAATGAATTATGGTTGATTTGACACGGAATGACCCACGTGTCTTTACGGGATGTGTGTCCAGAAAATCACTGGCAGTGTGAATGACAATCAGATGATCCTGGGACACATTATCAGTGTATTTTCCTGAATCTGTGTGTGAAAGGGGCTGAAGGGACAGCAGCCTAATATTCCTGCTGTTGATCAAAGAGAAGACCACTGCTCTTGACTGAATAACTGTTTAGCTTCAATGAGGATTCATCTATATTCAGTGTATAATGTATGCAGTGAAGAGCACGGTTTACAAGGTTACACAGTTTATTGTTCATTTCAGCAGGGCAGGTACAAAGCTGGACCAGCCCAACTGGGCCAGTAGAAAACCTTGAGCCCTGATGTTAAAAACAGCCAAAGCTGACATTTATTACAATGGCTTTATGTGAAGATTGTTTTAAGTTCATTAAATTAAAGGGGTTATATTTTAAAGCCTATTAAATGTTTAAATTTATAGCTTTCAATTATACTGTAATGCTGATATAATTAACGTTTTAAATTGAGGGGGGAAACCCCTTCAGTATCAGAGACACTGGCCTTCATTCATAGTGCTTAGTATAAACGATGACCTTAAACAAATATTTACCGTGTTCATGTTGCTTCTACATTATTGTGGAGATTCAGCGTTTCCAAAAATGTAGTGCTGTCAATCAGTTAAAAAAGAAACAACATAAAGACAGTAGCCTACACTTTAAATGCTTGTTTAAATGCCTGTTTTTATGAAAGAAGGCCAGTATCACTGATGCCAATCCTGCTACTGATGTCTCTATGAAATACATTTCTCAATTTTAGCCATTATAAGCATTGAGAATTACAGTTTAATTAAAAGCTATCAATTTTAACATGTATGAGGCTTTACATAATATAACAACTTTAATTTAAGTGAACTTAAAGCAATCTTCACATGAGCCCATAATAATAAATGCCACATTTACCTGTACATGTAAGCTGTTATGGGTTTTTTTATGAAGTTACTTGATAAGAATGATGTGTAGAGAAGACATCCGAGTATCATCAAGTTATGTTGACCACAGACTTTATATATAAATGAAAAAAGGCCCATGCTAAAAATCATGTGCCCATCTGGAGGGAAGCAGTGAGGGACTGGCCTCCTGGGCCGGGACGTCCCGCCTGCAGCACACTGCCACAGATGGGTGGAGGACATTAGCCGGGTGACTGGCACACACACATTAAGCATGTCTTGCTGTGTGGACGCTGTTGGGAAGTCATGAGGTGTGACATTGTGAATGCATCAAGGATTTCTGTCTTCTTTGTAATTGCTTCATATCAATGGGAAAATGAAAATCGTATGGTTTGATATATGTCTATAAAGCTAAAAGAAACGATGGCCTTTTCTCTTGCCTTTACCTCCTCCCACTCCTAGTCACGGCGTCTGACCTGAGGCGTTCGGGCATGCAGACGCTGGAGCACGTGTCCGTCACCGTGACGGTGGCCCATCCTCGGCGGGGGAACGTGGAGCTCACGCTCGTGTGTCCCAGTGGGATGACCTCGCTGATCGGAGCCAAGCGAGCGCTGGATGTGTGAGCGTCCCAACACTTCTAGCTCACTGCTCTCGTATGCCTTCTGTAGCTGAGTCGATGATGCCAACCCTTTTGCTGTTTCACAGAGATCCGACTGGATTAACAGACTGGACGTTTTCCACTGTGCGCTGCTGGGGAGAGCGAGCAGAGGGACAGTACAGGCTACAGGTCACCGACTACAGTAAGACTTTGCCTTTTTTTGAAATGCACAATTTTTGAATTTTTATTTAATCAGTTTAAAGTTACAGGGACAGTGCACATTAATACACGCTTACGTAAATGTGCCAGTTTAGCCATCTTGGCTAATTTTCAACTGTAGTCACTGGGCAGATGTAATGACCGATAAAATACATTCAGACAATCAACAATACTAATACATACATTAAAACACATTTCATAAAATTCATAAAATACGTTAAACATGGACAACAAATCAAAACATGATTCAAATGATTTAAAAAACTACAGAATATGGGTACACACTTGATTATCTTTTAACCATGATTTTAATTTAAACTTAAATAGCCCATATGAAACACAGTCTCTGATAGACGTAGGCAAACTGTTCCAAGTGTGAGCTGCTCTCACAGAAAAAGCAAAGGCAGTTCTTCTCATTTGTATTGCACAGTCACCTCTTGTTACAGACCTTGTATGTCTAGTAACAGTAATCTTTTGTTTTATAAAAGCAGTTAGTGGTGGGGGAGCTAAGCAATGTAAGATTTTAAAAACAAGACAAGAGTCTGTGAATTTAATGAGATTGTCCCAAGTCATTAAATTATGTTTTTTTATGCAGTAACAGTGGTGATAGGTATTTGGCTTCCTATCAAGCACCTTAGAAGCTTGATGGTACAATGACTGCACAGGTTTAAGGGTTGTGCTGGAGGCTTGTGCCCAGCTAGTCAAACAGTACAACAAATGTGGCATGATCATGGCATTAAAATATATTGTAGCTGCCTTTGTAGTCAGACAATTTCTTATATGATGGAAATTTGACATGTTAAATTTTACTATATTTATAACTTTTTTAATTTGTTTTTTAAATGTTAGATTAGAATCAATTATTATACCTAAATATTTGAAATCAGATACCATTAACAGTTGTTCCCCTGCAGTATAAATATTGGCTACAGAATTATCTGTTGACCTCTTTGTGAAGAACATACATGCGGTTTTCTTTGTTTAAATAAAGACAGGAATCACTAAGCCATTGCATAACATCGTCCATCACTGCCGTGAGCTTGTATGCTGCTTGCTGCTTGTTCGGCGCATGTACATAAATGACAGTATCGTCTGCATACATTTGAATCTCAGACTCATTGCATACAGTCGGAAGATCATTTATGTACAGGCTAAACAACAGGGGCCCCAAAATTGATCCCTGAGGTACACCAATATTACAACTAATGGCCGATGATACCTCATCATTTATCCTAACCCTTTGCTCTCTGTGTTCCAGATAGGACTGCATCCATTTCATTACATTGGGGGAGACATTAAACATTGACAGTTTTTTTAATAGGACACCATGATCCACAGTGTCAAACGCTTTCTTTAGGTCTAAGAATATAGCCCCAACAACTCCTCCTTTGTCTAACTTTGATTTCACATTCTCCAGAAAAAAACAGTTTGCAGTTTCCGTTGAATGATTCGATCTAAAACCAAACTGCATAGGATGCAGTGTAAATGGGCTGTTGCTGAGGTGGCTAGTGAGTTGTTCTACTACATATCTCTCAATTACCTTTGACACAATAGGTAATATACTAATTGTGTCATACTAATTAAGAAATATTTTGGTTGGCTGCTAGCCTTTTCGTGCTAGCGATGTCATGGGAGCATCTTGAAAACACAAAGGCTTCTGGGACTTCAAGAGCATATACAGTCGTTTGCTAAAGGCTAAAGGGAACGGCAATATTCAGATGTAGTCTTGATGTAGTCTTGATGAGCAGCGGGACGCTGTTAGCCAATACCCCGTCGCTGAGAGCGGCGATTAGAGGAATACGACACGATGTGCTGCGCGCTTTCCTCTTAATGACAAATAAACACAACAACAGAAATGGCAGCGGGAAGAAAGCATCTGAGCATAGCGATATAGATATGTTTGCATAACGTCACGGTAGTTTATACAGCACTTTATACAATAGATGGCTTTAAAGCAGCAGCTCTACAGGCTGAAACATGGGTCCTTGTCACTGGCGTAATCTGGGTTCCCTGAGCAGCCAGGTGTGAGGAATGGACATCTGCCGGCAGGAGGAGCCCAGGCCCAGGCGGCTGTCCTTCCCTCTGCGCCGCCGTCTCTCCTGCTCCGTCCACACGGCCCGCGGTGATGCGTCTCCGTCTCTCCTGCTCCGTCCACACGGCCCGCGGTGATGCGTCTCCGTCTCTCCTGCTCCGTCCACACGGCCCGCGGTGATGCGTCTCCGTCTCTCCTGCTCCGTCCACACGGCCCGCGGTGATGCGTCTCCCGTCTCTCCTGCTCCGTCCACACGGCCCGCGGTGATGCGTCTCCCGTCTCTCCTGCTCCGTCCACACGGCCCGCGGTGATGCGTCTCCGTCTCTCCTGCTCCGTCCACACGGCCCGCGGTGATGCGTCTCCGTCTCTCCTGCTCCGTCCACACGGCCCGCGGTGATGCGTCTCCCGTCTCTCCTGCTCCGTCCACACGGCCCGCGGTGATGCGTCTCCGTCTCTCCTGCTCCGTCCACACGGCCCGCGGTGATGCGTCTCCGTCTCTCCTGCTCCGTCCACACGGCCCGCGGTGATGCGTCTCCCGTCTCTCCTGCTCCGTCCACACGGCCCGCGGTGATGCGTCTCCCGTCTCTCCTGCTCCGTCCACACGGCCCGCGGTGATGCGTCTCCCGTCTCTCCTGCTCCGTCCACACGGCCCGCGGTGATGCGTCTCCCGTCTCTCCTGCTCCGTCCACACGGCCCGCGGTGATGCGTCTCCCGTCTCTCCTGCTCCGTCCACACGGCCCGCGGTGATGCGTCTCCGTCTCTCCTGCTCCGTCCACACGGCCCGCGGTGATGCGTCTCCCGTCTCTCCTGCTCCGTCCACACGGCCCGCGGTGATGCGTCTCCGTCTCTCCTGCTCCGTCCACACGGCCCGCGGTGATGCGTCTCCCGTCTCTCCTGCTCCGTCCACACGGCCCGCAGTGATGCGTCTCCCGTCTCTCCTGCTCCGTCCACACGGCCCGCGGTGATGCGTCTCCCGTCTCTCCTGCTCCGTCCACACGGCCCGCGGTGATGCGTCTCCCGTCTCTCCTGCTCCGTCCACACGGCCCGCGGTGATGCGTCTCCGTCTCTCCTGCTCCGTCCACACGGCCCGCGGTGATGCGTCTCCCGTCTCTCCTGCTCCGTCCACACGGCCCGCGGTGATGCGTCTCCCGTCTCTCCTGCTCCGTCCACACGGCCCGCGGTGATGCGTCTCCGTCTCTCCTGCTCCGTCCACACGGCCCGCGGTGATGCGTCTCCGTCTCTCCTGCTCCGTCCACACGGCCCGCGGTGATGCGTCTCCGTCTCTCCTGCTCCGTCCACACGGCCCGCGGTGATGCGTCTCCGTCTCTCCTGCTCCGTCCACACGGCCCGCGGTGATGCGTCTCCCGTCTCTCCTGCTCCGTCCACACGGCCCGCGGTGATGCGTCTCCCGTCTCTCCTGCTCCGTCCACACGGCCCGCGGTGATGCGTCTCCCGTCTCTCCTGCTCCGTCCACACGGCCCGCGGTGATGCGTCTCCCGTCTCTCCTGCTCCGTCCACACGGCCCGCGGTGATGCGTCTCCCGTCTCTCCTGCTCCGTCCACACGGCCCGCGGTGATGCGTCTCCCGTCTCTCCTGCTCCGTCCACACGGCCCGCGGTGATGCGTCTCCGTCTCTCCTGCTCCGTCCACACGGCCCGCGGTGATGCGTCTCCCGTCTCTCCTGCTCCGTCCACACGGCCCGCGGTGATGCGTCTCCCGTCTCTCCTGCTCCGTCCACACGGCCCGCGGTGATGCGTCTCCCGTCTCTCCTGCTCCGTCCACACGGCCCGCGGTGATGCGTCTCCCGTCTCTCCTGCTCCGTCCACACGGCCCGCGGTGATGCGTCTCCGTCTCTCCTGCTCCGTCCACACGGCCCGCGGTGATGCGTCTCCCGTCTCTCCTGCTCCGTCCACACGGCCCGCGGTGATGCGTCTCCCGTCTCTCCTGCTCCGTCCACACGGCCCGCGGTGATGCGTCTCCCGTCTCTCCTGCTCCGTCCACACGGCCCGCGGTGATGCGTCTCCCGTCTCTCCTGCTCCGTCCACACGGCCCGCGGTGATGCGTCTCCCGTCTCTCCTGCTCCGTCCACACGGCCCGCGGTGATGCGTCTCCCGTCTCTCCTGCTCCGTCCACACGGCCCGCGGTGATGCGTCTCCGTCTCTCCTGCTCCGTCCACACGGCCCGCGGTGATGCGTCTCCCGTCTCTCCTGCTCCGTCCACACGGCCCGCGGTGATGCGTCTCCCGTCTCTCCTGCTCCGTCCACACGGCCCGCGGTGATGCGTCTCCCGTCTCTCCTGCTCCGTCCACACGGCCCGCGGTGATGCGTCTCCCGTCTCTCCTGCTCCGTCCACACGGCCCGCGGTGATGCGTCTCCCGTCTCTCCTGCTCCGTCCACACGGCCCGCGGTGATGCGTCTCCGTCTCTCCTGCTCCGTCCACACGGCCCGCGGTGATGCGTCTCCCGTCTCTCCTGCTCCGTCCACACGGCCCGCGGTGATGCGTCTCCCGTCTCTCCTGCTCCGTCCACACGGCCCGCGGTGATGCGTCTCCCGTCTCTCCTGCTCCGTCCACACGGCCCGCGGTGATGCGTCTCCGTCTCTCCTGCTCCGTCCACACGGCCCGCGGTGATGCGTCTCCCGTCTCTCCTGCTCCGTCCACACGGCCCGCGGTGATGCGTCTCCCGTCTCTCCTGCTCCGTCCACACGGCCCGCGGTGATGCGTCTCCCGTCTCTCCTGCTCCGTCCACACGGCCCGCGGTGATGCGTCTCCCGTCTCTCCTGCTCCGTCCACACGGCCCGCGGTGATGCGTCTCCGTCTCTCCTGCTCCGTCCACACGGCCCGCGGTGATGCGTCTCCCGTCTCTCCTGCTCCGTCCACACGGCCCGCGGTGATGCGTCTCCCGTCTCTCCTGCTCCGTCCACACGGCCCGCGGTGATGCGTCTCCCGTCTCTCCTGCTCCGTCCACACGGCCCGCGGTGATGCGTCTCCCGTCTCTCCTGCTCCGTCCACACGGCCCGCGGTGATGCGTCTCCCGTCTCTCCTGCTCCGTCCACACGGCCCGCGGTGATGCGTCTCCCGTCTCTCCTGCTCCGTCCACACGGCCCGCGGTGATGCGTCTCCGTCTCTCCTGCTCC